ATATTTTTTATTTTTGACTTTCTTTTCTTTCTTTCTTTTTTTTATCAAACTAAAATCATGCTTTTAATTCAGCTTAGATTTGATTTATATAATTTCCCTTTTTGTCCCTGTAACTAACTGAAACATTAATGTTTGACAAGGGGCTGAAATTGTACATAATTAAGTACAAACAAAAATTGCTGATGGATAGTACAAAACCTGGGCGTATGCATGTGTCTATGTACGTTTGTATGTGTGTCTGTGTGGGAGTGGGTGTGTGTGGGGGGCGTGTCAACAGTGCCAAACCGCAGACAAATAGCTGGCACCAGGTAAGAGAGGTAACAGCAAACGGCTAACGGCTGCTCTTGTATGCTCAACTCTGAGTGTGTGTGTGTGGCTGTGTGTGTTGGTTTTGTCCACTCAAAGTTGCTTGTCATTGAACCGTGAACTGTGCTCGAGCGACAGCAGCAGCAGGAAGCAGACTGTGGGGCGGAGAGAGAGGAACGGTAGAGTGAAGGCTAGCAAAAGTTGGGCATGGCTGTAGATGTGAAGTACTCATCAGCAGCTCAACAACTGGAGGGCAGTCGCCGGTCTGGAGTCGTTGCTCATGCAGAGGGACAACACACAGCCAGCAGAAACAACACGAAAAACCTCACGTGTTTTTTGAACAGCGCGATATTTGCTTATGCAAAAGTACAGACACGCGGTGAGGTTTTTTTGGGTATGTTTGCGGGGGTGCAGAGAGCGGCAAAAGGGGGAGGTAAGCACATTGGAAGCTCGACTCTTACGCTATTTGATTTGCCGACAGCGGTCAGAGAGGGAGAGTAGGACAGTGAGAGGCGAAGGGCATACGACTGCAGGTGCTGTTAAAAATGAGCATGTGGCAAATACTTAAATATTTATATTGAATTTACATGAAACCGTCAGAGCGGAATCAACATCAACATCAGCAACATCAGCAGCAGCGGCAGCGGCAGCGGCAGCGGCATCAGCGACAACGTGCATTGGAATTTAATTAAAAAATAGTCGACGCTTTATAGGCACTCTATAGATATATTTATATATGTATATTGTGTGTGAGTGCGGGGGTGCTAAAGGGCTTTATATGCAGTCTGTGCTGGGCATATGAAATGCGCTGCGGCTGAATGATTAATGCCAATTAAATGGCCATTAATTGAAGACCCTCTGCTTTGATTGATGGCAACGCAGCACACACAACACACACACACACATATAAAAGGGAACAAAAAAGTAATTAAAAACAAAAACTGTAGCAACAAAGGGACTGAACGAGATAGAAAGAGAGAGGGGGAGAGAGGGCGAGAGAAAGGATAGCTGAAGCAAGGAAGCTTCTATTGGTGACTAATAAATGCTCTTGATGGATATTCATTAATCTGTGTGAAAGAGGATGAACGAAGCCTGCTGACTATAAAATGTATATATAGTAGGGTAGAATTTTATTGCAAAAAGAAATCACTTACAAATATTGGAATTAAGACTAAAAGTATTTTTTATTGTATTTATGGTAAAAATAATTTCAAAATAGTATGTCAACTATTTGGATTTTTCTTCTTATCTATTGTAATTTTTTATGAAAATTGAATATCATGGTTCGGTTTCCTTAAGAAAATTTGAAAAATTATTAAACTGTACATTTAAGTAAAAAGTTTTTTAATACATTTATAGCTTCTTTTATAACATCATCAATGAAGCATATCAAATATTAAATGGTAGTATGAATTCATAAATATTTCTTTATTTCAGCGTGGCAACAAAGCATATCATATCATATTATAATCTAAAATGTATTATAATACAATTCAGTTGAATTTTCTTTCATATTAAAATATATAAATATGCACACTAATTTCTGAACACAAAGACGGCTACCCCAAATTCACATCAAATGATTAATGATGGGCAACAGGCTGCCGACAAGCTCATAGCTATTAGGGCCCAGTTAACAAGTCTTTCTTACTTGTTTTTAGAATTTTAATGAAACTATTGTATACAAATGTTTTCTGCTAAATATAAATTAATTCAAATTCAAATTAATGTGTTTATTTATATAAGTAAATATGAACTATTTGTGACGTAAGGAAATTGAAATAAAATATATTTAATATTCTTATTTAACAGTAGAATATTAT